GCTCAAAGTCTCCGAGAAGCGACTGGTGTATGCGGCCGAAGTGGTTGGGCATGGTGCGTCTGGTGAATTGATAAAGGTGAACTCTGTGCCAAAGGTGCTGTGTAGAGATAGAGCTGGAAGGTAATTGGTGGGGCGATAGCCCTCAGGTGGAGATGAAGGCGGCAAAGGGGAATTGGCGCGGTTCAGACTCGGAGACGCGTTCGACACATTCGGGACATGGGCGGGCACAGGTTCAAATAGATCACTTTCAACACGGCCGTCGAGCTCGCGTACTCGTCTTGTGTGACGTGCGCTTGCTTCGTGGTGAAGAGCTTTCCGAAGTGGCATGCCTAGTTCTCCGCAGACAGTGCAGTCGAAGCCATACCGACGACTGCTTCTGAAGACTGGGGTCTCGTTAGTGAGGTCCGGATGACCGTGTGCAGGCTAGAATCTCGCAGTACTTACATTGTGGCTCAATAGAATCGTCTTCTGTGAGCGCCACACTGGTCTCATCGGGCTCATGCTCAGGCTGTCGACGCTTCATGTCATCTGACGACGGCAGTCAGTGCTGCGAGCACAGAGACTCGTTTGCACAAATCTTAGGCGCAAAATTCTTAGCACACGGACTCCTGATTCATTAGTGCAGAGAATATTGGCAGATTCTCGAATGCGGGGTATCTTGAGACTTGTGTGACATGGTCAGACAAAAACCAATGCTCAATGATCAGATTCCCGAATGACCGAAATCGCGCCCGCGTGATTTTCAATATCTCTCAGATCCTGTCACCTCAGTCTCATCCGTGCAGCTGTGTAGTTGGGCGTTTAATATCTGACGCCAAGATTGGGGTACGAAGCACGAGACAAATTAAGATATCTTTTCGGCTAAAAGAGGCGTGAAGAGAACTTAACAATATTTTCCGAAAGTAGCCTTACCATTTCGGTAGAAAAAGATGCAAAAATCTTCAACGGAAATAGTACCAAGAGAAGGAGCACCATTTTTGGAAGTATCTCTTAGCAAAAAGGTCGTATATTTGTGGCACAAAGAGAAAATTTTGTGCCTATCTCGGTGAAAAATAATGCCCTAGGTTCATCTGTGAGCAGTGTAGATATTTTCATTACTCTTTGCATCACATATGTATGGCCCTTTCACTAAGAAACATTTCCAAAAATAGTGCTCCTTCTTTTGGCACTATTTCTGCTGATAGTTTCTCGCATCTTTTCCACCGAAAGGGTCGGGCTTTTCTTGGAAAATATTGTTAAGCTCTTTTCACGCCTCTTTTAGCCGAAAAGACATCTTGATTTGTCTCGTGAAGGTAACCCTCAGAGTTCAAAGGCAATCTTAGCATTGGTTCAATGTAGAAAAGCGTAAGAATTTCTATTTTATCTTATCTTATTTTGCTTCATTACATCTACTTATTTATTTTTCTGCTGTCCGGCCGAGACGAGCCGAAACTCAAGGTCTCCCGCGTGTTCAAGGGCACAGATTTACCTATCACATCCCGCGAAGTCTTGCAGTGGACGCTTGCAAGACCGCGTTATGGGCACCTCCGAACGTCCATCGGACCCTTGGCGTCGGCGCCAACACCGTGACGATTGTCTCGTCGAATCTTACTCGGGATGATTACTGGCGGCCGAACTGCACGACGATTGCGCGAGGATATTTCTGCCCGAGGCGGGAATTCAGAGCTCAGGGCACAGCAACAGCTTGGCCATAAGCGTCGGAGATACCGGAAACTTGGCAGCAGGCCTCAGCCTGAAGCTGAAACGTGCAACGGAAAGGACAGATGGCGGAGGTAGCGCAAAAGCATGTTATTGGTTGTTCTATTACATTACGAAGGCGACTGTACATGTAAGTAGCGCAGCCAACAGGCGTGGGAGTCCCACAGTGTAGATGATCCAGACTGGAACCTGAACGTGCACAGATGGACGTAGCAAATACAATTACAGAGGGTTCCTAGGGAGATGAAAGCGGCCCAGAACATGCGTAAATGAGATAGATGAGAGCGTAAAAAAATTCGAGCAGGGTAAACCAGAACCAGAGTACTATGCGACGAGCGGCACGTCGCGCTAGTGCTAATCACGGTCATGAGATACGTAGTCCACGTCAGATATGGAGACATAACATATAAACAAATTAGAGGGCACGCCCCACATCTGTGAGGGCCGTCATCGGAGTCGTCGGCGACAGCGTCGCGCTGGTCGTGTCAGGATTTTCGTGGAGACTGGCTGTAGGTATCCGCGGCGTCGATGAAGAAGAAATCGTCGAGGGTGCTGCCGTTGAGAGCGTTGCCGTCGAGGATGTCGCAGCGCCCTCTGCGGGTAGCTGCAGCCTTGAGATGGACGCTTTGGAGGATGTGGAGGCAAAAGGTGTCGGAGATGCGGTCGCAGCAGAGTGTATGGACTCGTCTGCGGTCGCGAAAGAGTTCAACGAACTCGCGCGGGAGGGCGGACGGATCGCTAGCGGCGGCGTCTTGGCCTTCGCTTGATTAGACGCCGAAGCCTCTGTGCTGGCGCTACCCAAGCCCGGCGGAGGTGCGAGTGTCGCGGGAGACTGGACAGTCTCGGAGTTGTTTTCGGGTTTAGCACCGTCAGTAGCAACGGCGGCGACGGGTGACGCCAACTCAGACGGCTCGGTGGCGTTCACGGGTTCGCTCGCTAGTGGACTGCTTTGTTGCTGCGTATGCTCCTCTTCGTGGGCACTGCCCTCGGCAGCTTCTTCTTCCACCACCGTCGTGTCGTTCCCGTCCAAGATCGGCGACCGCGACGGTCCCGTGATCTCCTCAAAGTCGGGCGGCAGGTCCATTCTTGACGTACTCGCATGGAATGCAATCGCGTCTTCGCCGTACGGCACACCAAAGCGGGCGAACGAGTCCCGGGACGCAATGAGCTTGATCTGGTCAGCGGTAGGGCCCGACCGCGGGTACGTAAACTCAGTGCGGACGGTGGTATGCGTGAGTGGCGCAGAGATAGAGTTGACAGAGATCATGGAAGGCGAGGTCAAGTGAGGTGATTCAAGCAGGCGCGAACGCGAACGCGACATCATGCTGAAACCAGATCCGGATTGCGAGGGCCGATGCGTGCCAGCGCGCGAGTGAGCACGGCTTCGTGGGCGAGGGACGGTCGGCGTTGAGATGTTGGAGCCGGCAGAGCCGTTACGTCTATGGCTCACGCTGGGGGCGAGTTCAGTGGGGGCAACGTGCGGCCTGCTCGGGTGTCGACTGTGGAACAAGCCGAATATTCCGGACCTTCTCCTCGTACTCTCTACCGGCTCCGCAGGAGGTTCAGGCGTCTGCGGTGGTATTTCTGGGGTAGCGGCTGGACTCATGTCATCAAGGGCCACAACCTCAAAGTACGGCGGAGCCTGGCCGCGCGGATCGGGTGTCTGCGGGTTGGGATGGCTCGACGCGTTCTCCTCCGTGGTCGGAAGCGTGTCTATGCTCGGCCTGGAGCCATCCGTACGCGGGGTCATGTTGATAAGGCGCGCGCGCGAGTTATCCATATCGGGACCTATGGCGGGGCTCATGTCCGCCCGCGAGTCGTCCCCAGAGAGCAACGGCATGTCGTGCGGGCTCTCCGGCATCTCTGCGTAGTCGCGGCTCTGAACACGAGACATGTCGACAGACGGGTCTGGGCTGTCCGCGGTCTCGGCAGTCTCGGCGACGGACGGCATAACGACATGCGTCGTCGGTGGCTCCTCCATCAAGTCCTCCGGGCCGCGGAAGATGACGACCTCACGATCGCCCGGTTCCTTCATGTACATGGGAAGAGAATGCGTCGAGACCTGGCTCGTGCGTCTATTGGCACGCCTGCTCCGCCTTCTGCGCGCGGGCGCGTCGTCGTCTCCCGCGACGTCTACCGCCCCTCCAACGAGCTGCCGCGCCGTGAGCTCCCGCGTGCCATTGTTATCGGAAGTGGTGGTACTTGGCCCAAATGAGTTTGCAGCATGGCTAGTCCACCTCGCCATGTTCATATGCCACCCGCGGCGCATGCATGTCATGATGATGATGAGGCCAATTATCGCCACTACAACGACGACAGGGACCTGCGGAGAACACGTCATTCATAAGCCTCCTAGCTAGAAGGATGAACGCAACGTACGACGATTTTGATCGCATCGCTTCCGTCTCGTTTCTGCAGCGGCGCGGCGAGCGCAAGCTCGGGAAGGCTAAGGAGCGCCAGGACGCTCGCAAGAGTGGATGCTGATGGGAGGTAGATCCGCGGTAAACTTGACTGCATCGGTTTAGTACATAGTGACGCATCGTCTGTCGTGTGCAAGACGGATTGTTTACGTCTTCGACCTGAACATGCGCCCACAGGAGAACCTACTTGTGAAGAGATCTACGGACGGTTATCAGGGGGGACTATTGTGGAAATGGTAGCGATGGCGCCAACACACCGATGCCTGAACTTCACACATCTCCTCCCAGTCATGATTGCGTCTGTCTCCCATTCCGTCAACAGTCCAACCTTGGGCGGCCCCATCGACGCTAGCTCCAGGAGGCGGGGCTAAATTCGGCGACGCTTGTCGAGTACAGGGCATATCGATGACCAGCCCGTCGCTCCAGCTTTTCGTTATAAGAGGTAAGAGGAAAAGGAGAAGAGAGACAGTGCAAGTGTATGGAACACTTTGAGCGAGATGGGGGTCGGACGAGACTTGTCACAGCACAGCGCCTGGTGGAGACACCTCGCTGACCTCATCTCCGCAGCGTAAGCAGGGGTCCGTCTGCTGAAAGCGCGCGCCTGACATCTTGAAGATTTCATTCAGCTCACATGCACAACCCTCCATGAGATAAGAACAGATCGCGTTCCTGATGAATGATGAACACTCGCAGGTAGCATTCTCTCAAGCAGCAGAACCAAGACTCTCATGAACGGCAAACTATTTGCAGATCGTGGTAACCAAGGCCGCTGAGCCGTTGTGCCCTGTTATCGTCGGCGAGTATGCGGACCCGAGCGAGCGGCAAGTTGAGACGGGACACTCGGGTGCTCTCAGGCTGTCCAACACGCGCGTACAGGCACGATGCCGGTGTGAATTGACTGAGAGAGGCGCACAATGGCGGACTACTGGGCCGCGCCTGGAGCTCGACAATGAACTGGTCCTTTCCCACGAGGATTTCCGTCGCAAGCATGCAGGAGAGCTCAATTGGCAGTCGTAACGCTGCACTGGGATGCCACCCGATGTGCAATGTCGAAGCCAGTCGCGTCGGACAGACCATCAGCGATCGGCCGTACGACCGAGAGCTGGAACAGGCGGCCTCGCGCCAGCCTAGCCTTCACCGCCCAGTCAATGGACTACAGTGCGGAGTACATGAACCAAGCTCAGTCCACAGGTACCCCGCAAGGCGTGTCCAGCACGTGTCGGGGATGCCAAGCTCTCTGTCGCGTGCAACCACAAAGTCCTCGACGACTTGCGCGGGAACAACCAGAAAGAACCAGCTGGTCCACTACGGGTGTACCATTGTGTCGCCTGGCGTGTGCGCTAGACCCGATGTCGTGAAATTGACAAAGGGTTGAACGCTGGACGAGGGTCATGTACCAGGTACGCATTGAAGCGTGCGCGCTACAAATTTGCCTCTGATAGCGACATACTGGAGCTGCGTCAGCGTTTCTCCCTCTGCCAGTCCAAGTGACAGCTCACACGACGCATCATCTGCTGTCAAAGTCAACTGAGAAGGGTTGAGTGAGGGTCTAGTTGTGGTGAGTGACCAAGCGCGCAGATCTCCAGAAGCGTCGGACGGTATAGGCACCCTGCAACTTTCCGAACGACAAAGGCCAGGCTTGTATGGTACGGACACAAGCGAGTTCAAGAGGGCGGGGGCCGGCAGTGTCTGCAATCTCGTGCGATCTTCCTATGTATGCCGCGATGTTGATCATGCGTAGCACGAGACTCTGGCTTCGGACCGACAACGCTCCGTCTTCCGGAAGGGAGGAGATCGAGTTCAGGGACATGTACGTCTGCGCCACATTAGTAAGCGGAGCAAGTCCATGGACGCGCAGACCCCGCTTCAGGACGAACTGGTGACGATTTTTCGTCGGGATGGGCGGGATATGTTGTTTTTAGAAACACGTCAGCCAAATGCGCGTATATTTTCTTCAATATACATTGCTCACTTGGCAATTCCAGCTAACACCTCTGGTGTTGACTAGAATAGTACACGAGGTGCTATAGACCCTTTCCCATAGTGGCATGTCTGCCAGAGGCTTCGCCTGCCCTTCGTGACGGCGGGTCGCCACTCCGCCATCGGGTCCGACAGCAGGAGGATGAGGATAGTTAGCGATACTGTCCCGAACGCCTTCCCCATCGAATAGTTTTGGAAGCCTTGCCCGGTGTCGAACCGAACAGCGTAAAAGAGCATGGCAACTATGCCCAACCGTGTCGCCAGCAGCCGACAGTCGCAGGGTGACGACTGGACAGACGATGAACTGGGGGAGTGTGTAGTACGTTACGAAGTGAAGCAGTGGACGATATGGCGTGCTAGTGGTAGTTTCGGGCGTGGCTTGCTGCAGGAGATGTCGTGACCGAGTACTGAATATTCAACGCCGGCAACGTTGAGGCCTGGATCGGATGTTGGATGCTGGATGCTGAGCGCTGAGGAGGTTTGTCCTCGTGTACCGTTTTATGACGTGGCTGACAGCCATGATTGGTGTAGCTTTGAAGTGGCAGACATCCGACCTAACCGACGTCGAAGGAGCTAGCTCCTAGACGGTCTGGCGCGTCTTTCAGCGTTGTCCTCGCTACCTTTTCCATCCTGAGCATATTCTCGCCGTCCGTATAACCTATGCAAGAGTCGCATGAGTTAGGACCATCTCTCGGTAGACCGCAATATCAAGAAATCAGATGCACGGACGTCTTGGAAGCTATGATAGGATGGGGAGACCTGATGAGACGCGACGGACGCGCTTACATAAACGGTATCATATCAGCGCCCTTAACAATATTCGAACTTCAGATCCCCTATCCCTCAACGCTATCACGGGTTCTATATACTCGTCATATTATTATACAACGGAGAACATATTGTAACCCAGCTTTTTAGGTCTGTCTCGGTCAAGTCTGCAAGGAAACCAAGCAAATACTGCACGACAGATCTTTCCGTCAGCTTATCTCTGCCAAGACCTGCCTGCACCGCCCAGTCAATGAATGTCGGTACAGAATATGAGAACCAAAAAACGGTCCAAATGTAACCTATGAGTCGTACCCAGGGCGAATCTCGAAGCCCCAGACGCTTTCCGAGAGCAACAACGAAGTCTTCTATCGTAATAGCTGCGGCTTGAGCTGGGAAGAACCAGAAGGAGCAGCCGGTCCACTTCGGATCGACCATCGTGTCTCCGGGAATGTGCGACAATCCAGAAACAGCGAAACCGACGAAGAGCTGAACGCGGGAAGATGACCAAGTCCCCGGGGCACAACCAAGCGTGCGCGCAGCGTACCGGCCAACTCCCGACGTAACCTACGCCACACATGAGCACATCGAAAACAATATATGAATATGAGAGCATACGCGACGCAATTGTTGATGCCAGACTCTCCTATTTGCTGCAAGTCAGTTTTGCAGGCATGGAGGAGGAATGGCACGCACTTACCCCCAGAATCGCCTGACTGTGTATGCATCGCGCCACTGGCCGAACACAACCGGCCAATACATGGGTTCAGAGATGCGACAAGCGACTGAAACGAGTGCGAATAGGTCGTACGGAATGTTCAGCATGCAGTAGGCCCGCGTCATGTAAGCGGCGACGCTTAACATGGTGAACAGCGGCCCTTGAGAGCGCAACGAAACGAAGCGGTCTGCGGGTAACGAGAATACCGGGTTGAACTCGATGCACGTCTGTGCAAGGTCCGCAAGGAGGACGTGACAAAGCGTTCGAAAGGCTCGGCTAATAACGAAGCAGAAGCGACTGTGTTTGGGACGCAAAGGGACATGTTCGATCTGTATATGCGCCGAGAGTTAATCACGATATCCATTATTCAAATAAGACCATGCCTACCTGTTGGTTCCACCCAATTCCCCTGAGGTTCACAAGGATGCACGCACAATTATAGACACGCTGCAGCAGAGGCATACCCGACACAGCGGTACTATGCGTCTCGTGCCGCCATTGGGCCGCGGGATCCGAGAGTAAGAGCAGGACAAGCGCATGGAACGACATCGCACCAAACGTTCCGCCCGTGAGGTAGTTGAAGGACTTGGTGCCGATGTCGAAGCGGACGGCACGTAGCAGGATGGTAGTAATGGAGAGCCATGCAAGAAATCGCCAAATGAAACGAGGGCGGAGTGCAATGATGCACGCGAGGGCGAGCTGTGGGACAAAGTTGTACGCGAGAGGAAGAGGTTGACGGGGACGATCCACGGCCAAAGCTGAGTCCATCTGCGCTGCAAAGGCCAGAAAGCTTCGGCTTTCAGCCACTAGGTAAAGCTGGTCGCCATCTGCTTTTGCCGCTTGTCAATTTAACCCTGCTGCGGATATCGAGACGGTGTGTGCGAAATCGCGAGGCGCATTTTTTCTGCCGCGTCCGCCGAGAATTCCTCGTGCGAGCGAAGACCAGAAAGGTTTGGGAATGACACCATCTATCGCTTAGTAGGGCAGAGCACAGACGAATATTCGATATTCAGGAGTAAGCTCTGTGGAGTTGGCTTCTCCGCTTCCCGCTATGACAGTCATGGGCACGTGCAGCTTCTCCGATTAATAAAGGCGAGGAAAGCCAGAGCATTGATGCGGTACGTAGAGCGCGTCCTTGCATCCAGAGAGCGAATTGTGGAATCTTATGCGCTGGTACCGCCGAAGCTTCAAGCTCAGGGCATATGCTACCAAGAACCCGGCTACAAGCTATGTCACCTGTTCTGCCGCGTTCCACAGCTGTGTAGAACCTTGAGCTTGTGGACGGAAGTACTGAAGACACCCTACCCTTGTAAGTCTAGCAGGAACAGCCAGAGCCGAGATGGCCGAGATGACCTGTCAGTCTCAGAAATCGGCATGAGCGAATTCGTCGGGTAATGCCAAGGCCTTAAGGCCAGCAGAGCTGGAAAGGTATTGTACGGTGGTGGCACGATGGGAATGGGGCGGACAAGGCGCACCTGCGTTTCGTCATAGCCATAGCCTCATTTGGCGGCTCACGGTGTGTCAGGGGACAGTTTCAGATATGAGACGCCGTGGAAGACCCGGTACACCCCTTAGCGCCAGGCACATCCTTATTTTCCGGTCTCGCGGCATCGACATATATCCATAGTTTTGATGGGATTCCATGCAGATGCGTGGCTGAGGCGCACGAAGCGTATAAAAGGACGGTCTTTCATCTCAGAGCACATATTCTAGCCGTCTCATTCAGGTTTGTTCCCATCCGCCACTGCGTCGGAAAGAGAGGCTATGAGCATCATTCAAATCACATCATTTCATTACCTGGGCGGAACGACAAGTATTCTTGTCTAGTGAGAACATCAGAATCCACGCGATCGGTTTCGGGATTACGCGTACTCCATCTCGCGCCACAGCGCATGCGGAATATCCCAGTACTGCCTAGATTCGCTGTTGCTGACGAAAAAAATCTTTCTTGCGTCCTTGTCGCACTCGGAGCGCTTGGGCGAAATGCGGTCTGTCGCGAGGAGATATGCGTGCGCAGCGCTCTCCGTATGCCCATTGAGTCAGACAAATTATGGTCCGCGCCGATACAAGCATCTGTGCGCTTTGATAGGACGGTTGGGCAATCTCGCGGGCTCTACGGGGTCAGCTCGGGTCTGAGGAAAACCACACAAACCTCGAGCTTACCCAACCAAAGAGACCTGCGACGGGCGGGGCTGCCGTGGTCAGCCCATATTTGCCATTCACCCGGAGGACAGCCTGTTCCGCAATCGCCTTCACCGTGCTGTATATGTTGAACAGCGTGTCAGGGTACAGTGAACTCATCGATCTTGGGCTGGCCTGGGCAGACGAAGACGACGCTAGCGCTGCCGGTGTACACGATCTTCTGTACACGTCGGGCCTCTACTTCAGAGATTGCATTGTCTGTGCATCGACGTTGATCTTGCGGATGAGCTTGGACGCCTTGCCCCACAAGGGCGCGACAGTATGGAATATGCAGTTTGCGCCATACTTCACAGTGCGTAACCGGTTGAAATTGTTACGCTACTGAGTTACAAATTGCTCTAACACACTGCGGCCACCTCCTTGACTGCCCTCTCCAGCGCTACACGGTCGCAGACTCCCACAAATATACGCGCATGCTCATCAAAGGGGTTTGGAGCAGGGTCGAAAGTCACAACAGCCGTCTCGCCGCTGTGTTTGAGCAGCCTATCACACTCCGTCCTTTGAAGAGACCGAGATCATGAGGGGTAGAAAAAAGGGCGCTCGCGCTCATCCGTTAATGCCTCCACCGACGTATGCCGTCGTCGCTAAGTATCCGAACAACGACGTGTCACGGTTGCGCGTTGATGCAAGGGGCTGTACAATGTTGAACCTACCGCCATATCGGCGCAGGGCTACATAGGGCTGGTCCCTGATTCGCCGCAGCTTGGCAAGCCTGTTTATCGACGCTCCCATTCCGACGCGACATGAGGTCGGAAACGACGGAATCCCCAGTATTTGATGAGACTCATGGGCGCTGATTGTATTCAGCTTGAGGTGGGAGCTTTTGCAGCTCGAAAGGGACTGATTCCTGCGTTCCGTACCTGCAGCATGAGGGAAAATCGTGCCATTTTATGGTAGCGAAGAGTTGATGAAACGATGAACATTACCTAGTATTGATATTGCACCCAATGTTCAGGAATAGTTCCACTGAGATCGTCGACACAGGCGGATCTTCCGCTCCGACAGCCGCGCAACAAACGGCCACTCTGCAGCTCGTTGTGATGAGTAATGAGAATGTCAGTAAACTCTCCGTATCAATCCTCAGAACAGAAATATAGGTTTTACGATGAAATCCGCACGAACCAGTCCCAACGTCCTTCTCAAACCATCCAGTTACGCCTGCATTATCAGGGCATTATTATGCAGCCGTGGTCAGCGGGCCTGTTATGAAATGTGCACGTGCCACGGAACAGCCCGTTATGCGGCAGTATTCGGCCCGGAGATCAGCTCTATGCTCGTCGGAGTTCCAAAGCGCTGGCCAATCAATAGCAATAGCCGAACCGCTCCTTGTTCATTTCTGCGCAGTGTGCAGCGTGGAATCCGCGAATCCGCCGCTACCCCGCACTCATTCATAAAATGTACAAGCTCATCCGTCGAATCTCGAGCACATTCCTTCCGAGGCCGGATAGGCCGTGGAACGATGATGGTGAACCCTCCTTATCTCGCTCAACACATACACGAGTTTGCTGAGACAACACGTGGATCTCCAGCGACGTCAAATGCCCCGCAGATTGGCAAGAAACGACGGATGAGCGACGATGAGGAGGTGCCGGCGCCGGCGAGCATGAAGAAACATAGGACAGGACTCCGGGCGGAGGACACCGTTATCCTCGAGGAGCCCTCGGAAGAAACACAGGAGCAGGAAGGCACCACTGACGGCGTGAAGGAGGTCACAGAAGGTGTACGAGAGGTTGAGCTGGAGGACAACACCGAGGCAGATGCGAGCGAGGAGCCAGTTACCACGGAGACTGCCGCCGCTGTACCACTGCCAGACTCGCCGGTCCTCGAAGCGCAAACGGAGACGATCGAAAGCGTATCGCCAGAGGCACTGGCTGAGGTCAAGGCGGAGGCCGCAGAACATCCTGAAGATAGCACGATGGAGCCTGCAGCATCAGAAGCAGGGGAAGAGAAGGCTGTTGAGAAGACTGGGACAGACACCGCGGAGGGCATTGCCACATCAGATGCTACATCGACGGCTGGCTTTGATGTTGCCACACATGCTACTACGTATGAGACTGCTCTGGAGGGGGAGAAGGCGAGAGAGGCTGCTACGGAGGTTGCATAATGACTGAATACCCGGTCGGATCTAACAGCTATCTTTGACTATATCTCACTGACGATCGTACTGTTCATACAAGGGAGTGTATTTTGCTTATACCTAGTGTAATGTGTTACCCATGTAATATTCGCTACAACTTATGCAGGATACCGGCCACTATTCTTGCCTCGCTAGCTTGACCACTTACTCACCCGATACGAAGCAGCTTTCTCTGGCATGTCCCGCGATATGGTAAGCAAGCACTGCATTCTGAGGTGCGTAGTTTTACCATAACAATATCTGCAAACTAAGGCTGAAAAGTTCATACCTGCAGCGTCATAGCCAGATTGACAGACCAGCCTACCCGTACTTCAGATTACTCGCCCCGAATACCTCCATCCACGGTCCCGATACGTACTAGCCCGTACATTGAACTCATGGTATATCTATGCTACGAGTATCTACGCCACCGCAGCCTGTACGCTTCATGCGCACCTGCTTGAGTCAGAGCGCTGCGGACAAGTCCTGCCAGATCGGCGCCTAGCGAGTCTTCGCCTACTCAGTGTTGGATTAACGAAGTCCCGCGTACTTGCCATAGACGTCTAGTTTTCTGACAAGCCGAACGCGGGCCTCCGGCCAGACGCTCGGAGACTTACCATCAAGAAGGGCAAGATACGGAGGCCATATATTCGCCCATCGCTTCCGCCCATGCAACGCATATTCAGAACCACACCTGCAACATTCTGCAAAGCGGGACCCTGGGTTTCCATGGGGCTATTTTTGTTGGCTGAGATCTGTCCCGACAGCAGCCGTCCTATCATGCATTGACCACGCGGGGCGGGGGAAAATCTGCGTGGAACTTGCTCTCTTTAGTCCCATGGTACGCTCACCGATCTTCTATTTCAGGTACAAGCCCACCAAACGTGATGTAGCTAACGCATGGTGTGCAGAATACAAGGAGTCGATATCCTCTATCGGAGGCGTGATGCTTCCCACCAACGGGAAACACTGCCCTCGTTTGTCCGCGCTGTACCTCAATGACATAAATGCTGGCTCTTTACGAGAACGCATTGACGGAAGCGCGCTGCAGTTGTATAAAACTGTCGCAATACGAGAGGAACGGATGCCGAGTGGTCGGGACATCGCCTCAGTACACTTCTGGCCATGCGTACTCGTCGAGTCCAAGCGATCCTCTCGGCTGTCGTCGCGCAAGCTCTGTTCGTCAAAGCAGCCCCTGCTGTCTCGGACCCGTGTGCGATCTTCGCGGGCCAGACATTCGTTGCTCCCTCGCAGGCTCTCGCATGTCTCAAGTCCTTTCCGTTCAACGAGACTCTGCGGCAGAATGTGCTAACAGTGATCTCGCGCGTCTTTGACTTCTACACTTTCGAGGATTTTTACCTAAACTCCCCGCCACCGTTTCAGGAGTCAACGACGAATATCCGTGCGGACATTGCTCGGATTAACAGTACCAAATACGAGGTGAGTAGCCCACGTACTTCTCCGCATATTGATGCTGACCAACGCGGCGCCGCGGGGCAGACGGACTACGACTTCAACAGGGCAGTGTACAACTTTACTACCCAAATGAATGACGGTCACACGCGTAGGCATCCCGCCAACAACGCTTGTCTCACATTTTTTGACATTTCTTGATGTCCATCCACTTCGCTTCCGTGCATCGTAGGCTGGTTGCCCAGCTGCTACCAGACCTTCCAGAACCTCCTCCCTGCGCCGGTCGTGACCCTCGAGGATGAAAACGGCGTACAGAACGTCTTCGTTGCGCCCGACTCCGTGGAGTTCGTTTCGCTCCTCGGCGACGAATTTACGGGCTTCTTCGATCAAATCGGCTTCGACTGGAAGCGCCTTGCTGGCGCGCGCGTCCTGGAGATCGACGGCATGGACGCGTACGCGTATGCTGACCTCATCGCGAGCACCGAGACCGGCAATTACCTCGACCACGGCGTCCGCGTCAACAGCGTGTTCAGTAGCTACCGTATCTCAGATACCGACTTCTCGCAGCGCTTCGGAGACATAGCGGGGCCTGCGTTCCCTGACCGTGATTCGCTTACTATGACGCTGATCCCAGTTGGATCGACCCAGGCTGAGACAGTCACGGTCCCGTACCTCGCGGACTACCTTGGCGCCAACTTCACTGATCAAGCGTCTTTGTAAGTCACAAACAGTGCGCAAACGTCCGATTTGTCTGATGTGGATGACAGTTGGGAAGTCAACTGTGCCGCGAACAATGAGACAAATGGTGTAGACCTCAAAACGCAATTGCCAGGCAGCGGAAGCGCTCTGCGCAAGCGAGACATTGGGCGCACAGGCCGTAAGCTTGCACGTGCGGCCATCGTCGACAAGTCGAACAGCAATGCCGTAGGGTTGCCCCAGCAATTCATCCCGACGCTCTCTCCAGTGAATGGCAGCACCGGTGTCATCAAGTCGTTCATCCTTCCTAGCAATAAGACCGGCGTTGTAAACCAAGCTTCACCTTGGCTCTGAGATATGATGTGCTGATATATTTATTAGATGTTTGTCGGCTCCTTTGAAGGCGACTTCAACCAGTTCCAGACCGACACGGACGCAGCGATTAAGCAATTCAAGGCCTCGGGCGTCACCCGCCTGCTTGTTGATCTGACCAACAACGGCGGCGGCTTCGTCTGCCTCGGACAATTCCTGCATCAGTACCTCGTCGGCACTACGAATCTGGGCAACGCGGGCAACCCGTGAGTTATCTTTCGTTCGCATCACCACCTGAGGGTTGATCATGATCCTGCCAGCGGCTTCCAATCTACGAACCGGGGTAACACCCTTGCAAAGAAGATTGTCGCGTCGGACATCGCGCTGGGTCTTAACGATAATCTGTCGTTCTATACCCCAGATAATTGTACGTGATTGCTGTAGAAGCACTCGTATCGTCGATTCTGAAGTGGCTGGCTGCCAGGGGCTTTCCTCAACAACACAGAAATGCCCCTTACACACAACTACATCAACCCGAGTGTGCCATTCACCGTTAATGGCGTCACGGATCAAGACTCGCAGCGTTTCTTCGTGCGTACCAATAATTGTTTATCAGAGAGCTTGTGCTAACTTTCCTAATAATTGTAGGATACATGCGATCTTGAGTTCGTTGTTGAGCCTCCAGAAGAATCTCCTTTTGACCTCAACAACGTCGCGATCGGTGAGTCTACCTCAGAGCTTGTAGAGGTCCACGCTGACTTGCGTGCGACAGTGAGCAACGGCGACTGCGCGTCGACCTGTGCCATGTTCAGCACGCTCATGTTCGAGCGCCACCAAACCAAGGTCGCCGTCTTCGGTGGCAAGCCTGGCGAGCAGCTGCAGTACAAGGGCATGGCCGGCAACCAGGTTCTCGAATGGACGGACATTGACAACGAGATCAAGACCGCAAACCTTAAGGATGTATGTCCTCGTTGAGCTGCCGAAGGCGCTGTCAGAGCTGATGCAAGTGTACTGTCGCAGGATCCCTTGGCGCCCCCGGACTTGTTGGTTAACGCTGACTTCCGACACAACTGGAGGACTGCTTGGAGCTTCTTCAACGAACAACTGCCAATTGGTGCGTGCACTTGCGTTCCCAGTGCGAACTTCAAGCTGACTGTCTGGTGCGCAGCCTACGTTTCTGAGCTCCCGCAGTTCCGCTTCCCATACACGAATGCGACATACAACAACCCAGAAGCGCTCTGGACCTTCGCGTACGCCCTTACGATTCTTCGCAATCCTACCGCATACCTGACCTACCCACCACCAGCGAATCCAAGCTATTCTCATGAATCCCATGTTCTCCACAAGATAACGACCCGACGAATTGTAGCGATATCCTTTGAATGTATACAAAGGACAAATTGCACTGTACATCCAAAGTGTATAAAACCATCTTGAGCTACAAACCGTGCACACTCTACAAAGAGCCAGCTGAGCAGACCAAAGTACAGAAGTATGGATACATGCAGGGAAATTCGCGTTGATTTGTGATTTGTGCTCAAGCCGACTTCTTCTGGAGGCTCTTCGGGAGCTCCTTGACCCAGGGTAGGAAGTCGCGGCCCTGCATGTACGGCCGGAGCACCTCGGGGACGACGAGGCCCTCAGCGGTCTGATAGTTCTCGGCGATGCAGCAGAGCGCACGTTCAGTCGCACAGAGCGTGCCGTTGAGCATGTGCACGTAAATCTTGCGTTGCTGATCCTTCGTCTTGAGACCACAACGGACCTCAAGTCTCCGGCTCTCTGCCAATCTGTTAGCCTTGGAAGATTGCAACGTACAGGGAACTACTCACGGTAATCCGTGCAGTTCGAACACGATACCAGCTCTTTGTACGCTCCCTGGAAGGGGAACCACGCCTCGAGGTCGTACTTCTGCGAAGCTGCAAGATTGAGCGCGCCCGAGACGATCGCCACAGCGCGGTAGGGGATGTTGAGGCTCTGGTAAAATTCTTCCGAAGTACCGACCATCTGGTCGAATATTTCCCAGCTCTTCTCTGGCGAAGTGATGCAGAACTGCTCGATTTTCTCGAACTGGTGCACGCGGAAGATGCCCCACATGTCGCGTCCTGCCGAGCCGGCCTCTTTCCGGAAGCAGGTCGAGTACCCCGCATATTTGAGCGGGAGCTGTGTCTCAGGCGACTCGAACCATTCGTTCGAATGATACGCCGAGATTGGTTGCTCCGAGGTTGCAATAAGGTACTTCTCGTCGTCGTCGGCGATGACCTGTTGATGAATAGGGTAAACAACTCCTGTTAGGCACGACATAATACGACGGGCACGACCTTGTAGAGCTCCTCATCGAACTGATCAAGCTGAGCAGTCTTTGCCATCTGATCTTTGTTCATCATGAACGGAGGTTGGATGTTCTTGTAACCCTTTTTACGCAAGAAATGGAGGCCGTAGGTGATGAGGGCTTGGTTCAGGTCGATGCCGTCGTTCGTTAGGAAGTAGCCTCGATGGCCGGCAATCTTCGTGCCTGCGACGACATAAACCAAAAAGATACGGTTAATATGAGTAAGAGCACACCTCGCTCGAGATCCATCGCATCCAGACGGAGCAGAACCTCGTGGTGAGGCATAATGTCAGTCTTCTTCTCCACTTCGGCGCCTTGAGGATGCCATGTCCTGAGGGTTACGTTCTCATCCTACCACGAGTTTTGAGTGAATGTGCATGAACACGGCTTTTGTGACTCACCTCCGTCAAGCTAACGGGGACGTCCTTGCCTACGATGTTTCCGAGAGTGGCAGCCTTCTGACGCATCTTTGCTTCATGCTCCTTGGATTCCACGCGTTTCGCAGCGACCTGCTCGTCGAGCTGCTTCTTCTTCGCAACAAGCTCGTCTGCGTTCTCTTTCGCCTGACTTAGACGTTAGCTTTCATAAGCCCCGTATCGCATCCGGAGTATATACCTTCTTTTTTACTGCTATCTCTTTCTGCACTGCATTGACCTCCTTGCTGATATTATTCGCCTCAAAGTCCACTGTCTCAACAGCTAATCAGCAAGCAAAGTCTCCATATGCTATCTCGTGCGTACTCTTCACCCAGTCCTGGTACATCTGGATAACTTCGTCCACGATCTCGACCGACAGGCCACGCTTTCTTTGCGATTCGCGGATCTCTTGGGCATTGCCGCCCTTGTTGTCAATAAAATGTAGCACGTCAAGCGTCATTGTGCGTTTTGGAGGGAGGGTAATTCCTGAGAGAGGGTAGAAGCTAGTAAAGCTGAAGTCACTGACTCGCGAACTCCAGATTTGAGTCAAGCTCTTGATTCGGTAACTATCATTGTCTTATCTGCTACCCACCGCGTTTATCTGTATTCATCTTATCAAACATTTGCCATAGCTGGACATCACTGCCACAAATACCAGGAGTAGCCCAAATTAATCGCTCATCCAGACAGCCAAGTCAAAGTGAGCCTGACATCCGTTAGCTTGTCAGTGCAGATGACAGAGGCAGTGTAACTTTAGCACGACTGGAGTCACCCGTTCGGAACTCGTCATTGCCTTCAACAAATGCGCGCTTTTCGCGTCGCTAGCAGCTGCGGTTGGCAGACAAGCCGTCGGGTCATGACGACTTGGGCTAGACTGCGCGTTCGCAACCATTGATGAATCCACTAATCACCGCTCAGGTCGTCAGCTTGCAGCTTCTTAGTGCAGGGTTCGCCATCAAGGCGAGCGGCGCTGTGGGACGCCCGACAAGCGCGCCTCCCGACCCTGCGAGCTGTGTTTCACCAAGACATGTCTCGCGGCGTCGGCGAGTGTTTGTCAGCGCTGAGAGAGGCCTCAGGGCTCCAACAACGAGTGCAAGTCATGGCCAGCGACCCGAAACCGACGGACGGGCTTTTACATTCAGCGGCTGCAGCTTAACAACCCGCCTGGTAACCTTACTTGCTTGCAGCAGCAATGGTGTGTATCTTCCGTGTTTCATCGGGATGACTTTGCACTACGGATGATACATCGTTTGCTTTTTCCCTGAATTCGTTGCCGGTGTCAGACTAGCGTCAATCAGGCCTTGGATGACACTGTCTCCGTGGATTTAGCACATGCTAGCTGTATAGAACCGTATAAGACCGCACGGCTTGTCGAGCTTCTCTTCACCGCATCCCACCCAGCAATCACGATCATGCTTGCCGAATATTCCTCGTTCTTCAACTCGGGTCTTCTTCAGGTAGCAAGCCATGCCGCCGAAACTGAACATACTTCCAGAATACGCAGGTGAATACGCTGCAGTGCATAATCTTGTGAGGATGCTGACCATCTGCTAGGCTGAGTGCGCGTTCTATCCGCAGACTGTCGCGGACCTCTCAAACTGTCGCATCTGTGCAACGCCGAGCGACACAGCAGCAGTCTCACAGCTCTGTTGGAGACCTGTTGTCACAATTCCCGGACGTGCCCGCTACCACTCGGCGACCGAGAATCCGCGTGGACACCTCCGCCTGTGACTCGGCATTGTCGCCAGCGCTAAAGTCCTCCGCTCTTATTTCCTCCGACCCAAGCAAAACACACTTCACATGGCCGCCAGCGAGACGCCAGGTTTCGCGAACCGTGATCCACTCTCGTCGCCGCACCGTACACTCCATTGGATTCTCGTTGAAGCGTTCGCTGTCCCTTTCGCGCGAATTCCCAGGTCCAAAAAGGAGCAGACGGTCGCTCCTGTCCTGGCAGACGACGCATCGGACGTACACGGAAGTCGGATTAGACGAATAAACAAGCGCACCACCGGACTCAACCCTATCCAAGTCCTTTCTCATCCCGTTTCGGCCAACGTACTCGTCTACGCCAATCTTACCCTTACATAATACGTGTTCTCTAGCCGCCAAGTCAGCAAAAGCCACTCATTTGATGCCTCCAATTTTCTCTCCTCATCTCTGTAGCCTAGTATCTGATCTGCCCTCGAGCACTCAGTTGTAACACTATCAGCCCACTTAACGCGTGGGCTAGCGACGCTCCTTTTCGTCTCGCGACTTACTACTATCATCAGTCGTCGTGTTTACCGTCTCTCCTTTATTAGCTCTGTAATCCCTCTCGTACATAAATTATTCCTATGTGATAGATACCACTCGCAACCTGTGTCTAAGGATTGCTTGCCAGCGAATGTTCGTCTCCAAGAGGCGCTATCTTTATAGCGGCGAGTGATGTGCAGTATATCGCTGAACTCTGTGCTGTAGGATGCTAACACGTGTAGTATTTTGGCCCACACGCTGGTTCCGGTTGCGAGACGATGTCTGAGAACAAATTTAATTATATATATGTGGGTTGTAATTGTTTTGCTAGGCCATGTGCAGCAGGGAGCGCGTCAGTATTCCACCCAAGATGCCGAGCATAAACCGTGGCAAGCACCGAGAAGTTCTTGTCGAGCGAGAGCTGTCTGCTTCCGGGCATATTAAGCTGAAGGGTGTCTCATATCTTGCACATGTCGCCAATTTCTCGTGTACGAGTGCATAAGTAGATAGGCCCCGTATACCGCGCAGCTATATATATAGAAGCACATTCAGCAACTCCTTGACAGCCTCCGGGAGAGTTGTCGACGGCAGTCCAGATATCAGCTCGCAAGCGTGTGACGTAGGTTCAAAACCCGCCAGTCCAGTCGTCTTTAGAGCACGAAGTTGAGCTTGTGTAACGTTTGTTGACCGCAGAAAAGGATTCGCGGATCAAGCGCTGCGGGACCAATTAAACGCCACGACGCTGGCGCCTCCTATCCGCAGCACTATCCCGCCATCAAGCCCGCCATCATGGCGGCAGGACAAGCGCCGTGATTGTGTAACCATCTATTACGTTCTGTGCACACGTCTCGCTCCTAAACGTGCCTTCCGATCTTACTCCAGAGTAGGCTGCAGCATAGATCTGGAGGCCTTTATTCCCCCATGGGTCTACAGCTAGCTCTTGTCGCGTCGAGTCTGGAAATGGGTGTCTTCCTCGGCATTTCAAAAAATCTATATGGTGCTGAGAGTGGGCTCGAGGGCCTGAAGTTTTGTACGCTGCCATAACAGCTGCGTTAATTGTGGCTCTGAGCCTTCGGGTAGGAGAACGGCGGACAGTATCGGGCTTTGTTCAAGGAGTGCAAGCTAGTAGATAATATTCTGAGGATCATTTACTACGCCGGATGTAATTATTTTCCCAGCAGCGTTACATGGATCTATTACGAAGTCGGTGAAACCCCTGGGATTACCCGGGGACGTCAGCAGGAGATTTAGGTCAGGAATTATACGGTCTGTACACTCGAATCGACCTGGGCGCGGGCTTATAAATACTCGTAGCACTCCGAAGGCTCGACAAGCCTACTATGTAATAACCTGTATGTGGTCGAATCCACTATACACTTAGAAGACAGTGAAACAGTGGCTATAACGTTCTTTGAGGAATTTTGAACATGTATTTACATACGCTGCATGACTCAACTACATTGAACAGATATTCGACATATCGTACACGTGGCGAGTACTTACGCCCGAGCGTGAGCTGCGCGACGCAGCGAAGCATCTTACAATATTCATTCTTCGGCTACCACAATCACTGCTTTGCCGGTGTTACCACCGGAGTGGACATCAGCGAGAGCTTTGCCGGCCTCTTCAAGCCCATGATACCGGTGCTCGCGGCTAGTGATCTTGCCCTGGGCGACAAGCGGGATGATCTCCTCATGGAACTTTGGCACGACCACTGCAGACTCGCCTTGGAACACGACGAAGCCGTGTACGGTGAGACTGCGCTTGAAGACTTCGTCAAAGTTCTGCCATGACCGTCAGCCAATTTATGATGATGCGAGTCCTTGGCGTGAATATGCAAGCTTACCCTGACCACACTGTTTGCGTCATGGCTTGTTTGGCTGATTGCGCCACATGCCTACACCTGTATTCAAGGGCGAGATCGGCTGTAGAGACTAAAATATACTTACAATGATCAAGCCTCCTGTGCTGGAATTCTTGACTGCGGCGTCGAGCGTCGAGCCCGCGACATTGTCCCAGTAGCTGAGGACAAACAAGGAGGTGAGCCGCACCACCCCCACACAACATTTTCACTCTAGAGCTTACATATCGATGGGTCCATGCGTCTCCAAGACCTTGGCCGTATCTTCTGTCCTGTAGTTGAACGCGACGTCAGCTCCAACGTCTTTCAGAATCTTGATCTTCTCTGGACTGCCAGCGGAGGCGATGACCTTGATGTGCGGCGCGAGCACTTTGATGTACTCGATGACAAACGTTCCGACCGGGCCTGCGCCGCCAGACACAAATATCGTCTTAGCCTGGGACATTCGTTCATGAGCTGAGATACAGCTGTATCGAATAAACCCCTCACTGTTTTGAGCCTCCCGGAAGCGAAGTACTTAATTCCTTGGTACGACGTCGTACCAGGCATACCCAGCGTCCCGAGATAGATCGAGAGGGGTACATTCGGCAGCTTCTGCACCTTTCTGAGCGGCCGTTTGTAGAAGTGTTTGATCCTCCCAGGATAGACGGAGTACTCGGCAAACTCTGCGCTGTGTCGTAAGCGAATTTCCTGTCCACGTACAGTTGCCCCGGATGCGCACCGAGGTAACCAGCTACATAGTCTCCCGGTTTGAAGTTAGGGTCCTCGCTGCGGACCACCTGTCCAGCCCCACCATTGTCGACTCTATAAGAAGCATTGTGGGCTCTAAGCCGCATACTCTAATGAGAAGAGCACTTACGGGTCGCCGAGCTGGATCGGTGGGCAGAACGTCTGCACCTCTGGGTCGCGCATGCGGTAACGGATGTAAGGGTCGCTGCTGACGTAGAGCGTCTTGAGCAGCACACCGCCGTTCAGTGGGGCGTTGTCCAGGTCAATCTCGTCATCGACGAGCTTGAAGTGCACGGCAGGTTCGATGCCCTTCTCGGGGTGGGAGACGTAACGAAGAGACCTGTTTCTAACCATAGTGGGGACGATTGTGGCTGACTTGCTGCAAAATCTCAATACAGAAGAGATGGGGGTGCGATGGGCTCGTCCCCCGGTCGATTTATACCAGCCAGATAGGGCCACGCGAGCGAAATGAGGGCTTCGTCAGTAGACGCAAGTTCGGTCGGGGACCATATAAACGTGATAGCACCGGCAATACCGCATATCTCTATGCTTCATGGACCGGAGATGATCGTCAGCGGTATACCCTTTTTGTGCAGCAGCAAGAGGTCAGTGTACGCAGCGTCAGCGGGCTCGGTGACATTTGCAAGTGCCCAGACGCCTTGCTCGATGGCGTCATCTTTAGAGAAGCACTAGTACTGAGTAAATCAAGATGAATTATGCGAATAGGCATTAATATAACCTACATCAACCAACAGTGACGGGCAGAGGAGACTCAGAAGATCAAGAAATCGGCAGTGTGCCGGTAACGACATTGCTGAGGAGCAATGTTCCCGCGGTCAGCACTCCAGTATACCAGCGCAGGCGCTAAGCGAAGTTAGCGAACGCTGCGCGAGTTCGGGCTGTACGACCAACATTGACCGAGGGCCGAGATATGTGAGACAACAGATGGCGATGCTCCCGCGGAAGCTATGTGTGACGGCAATATCGTGTACGCGTCATGATCGGCGTGCCGCCCAGGCGACTGCGAAGGCGTGCTCAATTCTACATGGATAGGCGTGCTCAATTCTACATGGATGGGATGGGATGGGATGGTTTCGAGCCAGCACACGGTGGCTGTGGCTTTCCCGTTGATGGCATAGATTAGCCGTGAGACATGAATCAGAAATAGATCTGTTCCTAACCCGCCATCCCGCCCTCGAGTCCCGCCTGCTTCCAAAACAAGTAAGTCTATTTGTACGAGACAAATAGAGGACGGGGGGCAGTTTGCTCAAGGCGCTGTATATTCTGCAACGGAGAGAGAAGAAAGTGGATTTATTGAGGCAGGTATACACCACAGAAAGCCAGTGCTTCTTTTCGCTGCGCAATACTCAGGCGCCATCGACCACTCCAGTGCAGTTGTAGACTTTGACCGAGTGAGCCTCTCAAAGCTGTTATCCCACAAGCAAACAACAACCCCATGTTCCGCAAAATCCAAGTAATATGCTCAGAGTCAAGTTATGCCATGGGAGCTATGCAAAATTAGTGAGTCACGTCAGGAGTGTCTGCACTGCGCTTGCGAAAGCAGACGCACGCTGACCTGCTGGTCAAGCACCTGGTGGCCAACTCCCTGATACAGCGCCCGGCTCTGTCTCCAGCGTAGAGTGCGCTAGGATACGGGCCATATACTGGGACCTGTGCCAAAAATTCCTGATTGAGCCAAGCAAATATCTTTCCCGAACCAAGTTGGTGTATTCAGCATGTGGTTGTAAGGCCATAATACTTATTAGCAAGTGAGCTTGAGAGTTACATGATTTTCGTATGAAGGCTTGAATGTTATTGGGGTCACACTC